TCTGGACTGTGGTCATATTTTTCGATTAGGAGTCGTATATTTAAATAACTCACCGTGACTAATGTTTTGCATTATGAAGTATATTATTATGAAGGTCAACACACTGTACTTTAATAGGTAAATATTTACCATCTCGTTATTTCATTATTTCGCTTTCCAGCATTTACAGGAAACGCTTCATTCTAGAAAATGCTATCGCAAAACGGTTGGAAATAATAAATGTAACAGCAGAATACGTCCTAGCACAGTCACTCGACTAGGAGAGTGATTGTGGTCCTAGTAATAAACTAAGTGACTTCCAAAAACTGAATGGTGTTTGCGAACTTTGTATTAGTTATAAACCGACGTTAGCTTCACGTTTATGTCACACCATGGAAACAGCCAAAAACATGGTGCTTGTTTTTGAGCGGAGTGGATCGCCAACCAGCCTACCGGCTTGTTTATTTACCTATTTATCTATGGACCCTAGCTGTTAAAGAGACAGATGTTTTTATTCAAAGTTCAAAGTTCACTTACATGACATAGATGCTGTTAATGGTGGGACTGTTCCTTCCATTTTAACTTTACTCCAGATATTCAAAGATGTATTATAACACCATACCTGCAGATGAATATAATACATTTTTAAAGTTCAATATTTGCACTTGATGCATATACATGTATTTATATAGTAGATTAAATTTAACCTATTTCTAAACACTGTCTATCCTCCGACTATCTTTGTCTACAATTTGATTGATGATTTATCAACAATACTATATTGAAGTGTGTGAACTCAGGTAAATTACAGAGGTGTTTCTATAGTCAAAATAAGTAATATTTTTATGATTCAGTATACAACAAATCTGATTTTTGGTTCATACGCACTTCTATTGGAGATACCCTTCTAATAGATCAAATACAGTATTGTGAAATTGATAACAATAGGAGCAATGCATTTACTAGTGAGGTTAAAAAAAATAGCATATGAAAATTTACTAAAAAAAGAACGTTTTCACTCAAAGTTTTGTTCATCCCTTACCTCTTGAAAAACTGGATTGAAATTCTCTTCATCTTCAAGATTTAATATTTCTAGGGGATCATAGTATATGCCGCCCAATGAATACACGCTGCTGCTATCGGCAACACAACAATGGCCACTACGTGCATGGGGTACATCTTGACCTGCAAAGATGGGCAATTTTGGTAATGAATGATATATAGGACAGAAAGGCACTTTCTTTGTGGATAAGTGGAGGGGATTTTATTTCCAAAATTATTATTATTAGTTTTTATATTTTCCAGTATTTGTATATAGCTTAAGATAAAAAGCCATGCATGGCACAGTTATTGTTAACATTTCATACATTCAATAAGTTTGAAAATTAAATTACACATGTGTAATGCATGATTGTAGTATATTTTAAAAACTATAATGGTGCCAGCAGAGATCTCTGATTGGATGATAAACTGACTGCATGTACACATGTACAAAGGTTGAAGTGTTCTTTCGCCATCCAAACAAAAAACCATGTTTGTTCAATCATTGTGCCAAATCTGTAGAAACAAGTAACCATGATCCATAATCTTATGTGAGGGAGTAAGAGCACGCATAGTTTATATCAACAGAATCAACTCAGTCAAAATCTCATTTCATTATTAACGTGTCTCAACAAGTATTTTATTTGTGTTAACAATAAACGTGTGGTCAATCAAATGTATGATAAATCAGCCACGATTTTTTTTGTTTCATCTTTGTAAAGATTGCATTTGAGAAAAATGTCAACATTGTTAAATCTGTCCTTTTCAATTTGTAGGATATATTCAATAATTCTTAATTTGGTTAACAAAGATCAGTGATGTGGGTTTTTAATTATGTATAAGTATTTTTCGAACGAGAAATCTGATTTAAACTGCCTACATGTGCTAAAATTATTTTTATGATTTGCCCCATTGTTGTCATCATTACTGCTTCTGTAGTAATTTATTATCGAATATTGTTTTAATTAATTAGACCATTTCTGTCTTCAGATTTTGACTCTTCCCAAACATGTTTCATATGTATTATATTTAGCTATATGGATACCCAGTTTTGTCTTCCAGCATTGTCTAGTTGAATGCCTAATTTATAAGCTTCATCAACCAGCATATTTTGTGGCATTATGTTTATTCTTAGCCAATAATGTAACAGGGTCCATAGCACCAAGAGCCAACTGATTTCCAAGACTTTTCCAGACCTTTTCCCAAACTTTCTTGCATTTTTCTAAGACATTTTGACCTTTAATTCAGGCCAACATCACCACCAAAGCTCATCAAAGTTCTAAGGATATGGTAGTTCCCTGGAGAAAACGAGCCTTTCTAAAATGAGTAAATAACTGTAAAGAAATCAATCTATCAAATTTAAAGACTTTTCAACGGTTTCTTAATTTTCCTGTAATTTAAAGACAACTCAAAGACTTTCCAGACCTCAAAAAATCCAAAGACTTTCAAAGGATTTTCCCAACACTATGGACCCAGTGTAAATGCATTAATTATTCACTGGGTTTTAATTTCACTATTTTTGCTGACAAGTGAAATCTGCTAAATTAAATCTACATGAACATGTAAAATAACAATAAAACTCATTGTTTCCTTGACAAATTCGTGAAAATAAAATAGTGATCATGCTCGAAACATGAAAGTAGGGAAAATAAATGGTTTTACAATATTTCATCATTTGTTTGATCTCTAACAAAATAAGGCAGAGCCTCTCTAGTTCTAACAAACAAACAAGCTAGATTTGTTGCTCTGCTATTTAACTAAGAAGGAATTTACAACATTTTATGTGTTTTTTTTCAATTGCAGGTTAATGAAGTTTTGTTGTTGGCTAATAATGTCACCAGAGCAGTTTAACAAAATGGGTTTAATTACAGCATCAAATGTTTTAAAATAAATTTGTATATGTACATGTGTTTCTAAATATAGTTTTGCAGTATGGTTTTAGCTTGTTTAATGTCATTTTCAGCCCAGTATTTGTTTATGTAATAAATAAATGAACAGATGTGACACTTATGCTATAAATTGTAATTTTTTTTTTAATTCTGGTTTAAGGTAGCGAGAAGGGTTTGATGACGTTTTTGAACAAAGCATTCTCTGTCTGTTGTTTCATTCAGAACCGTAATATAACGTATATGCTTCAAAAGCATAAGTATAGACACAGTATAGACTGGACAGCCATTGTTTACTTAAGTACCACATGACAACAAAAAAGGTGAACCTTGTAAAAAAGACTAAATCCGCGATTGTGAGAGCACAATGCGGAATTTCTGAATGAAATTTACGTCATGTATTGTCCGTAATCAAGTCCATTGAAATGTGTCCCTGGTAATCAAAAAACATATTTTTCTGATTTCTACACAGGTTTGTTTTTTTGTCCCCTAATTATTTCACACTTGGCACATTTAACAGACTATTATTCTGTGACAAAGCATTTTCTTTAAAAACCCAGACACATTTCGTCCCATCATTATCTTTTAAACGATAAATGCGAGTCTGGATGTCATAGCCCGAATGCATTTGATTTGACGGCGGTCCCAATGAGCCGCACTGAATTAAAATTCGAGAAAAACACGAAAAACAGTTTTGGATAGTAAAACAATGTAGATTTGCTGCATTATTATAACCATACTCTAATATATTTTGATCTTTTGAAAAACTGGGATGATGTATCATGGTCTTAAGTAACCGTTTTATAAATTTTTGAAAAATCTAGAAAAAAATGAAAATTTCCCTTCTTGCTACCTCAAATGTGGACCTTAATTCTCACTCAAAATGTCTTGCATACCCATATGCAATTGATACAATAATAATATTACAGTAAAATTAATAATAATAAATGTCATTCACTAGGAAGAGATCATTCCAGGGTCTGAAATGACAAGGTTTACCAGAAGATATTCTCTTCCAAGCTGATTCACCCGCATTTCCACGATTGAGTTTTGGTTTTCACTGAATTTTAAGTTTGTGTAAAATAACTATGTTAGCTGGATGACGCCAAAAACCTGAATTACCGTTGTGTTCGAACACTAGATTTTCATATAAACAAAAACATTGTTGCATTGTAAATTTCTCACAGTGCTTATAAAGGAAACACTCATAATATTATTACTTTACAGTCACTGTAACAGTCACTGGTCACCGCCAAGTGGTAATTCGCCCGCTCAGGTGTTACCAGTAGTATTTTTGCTCTGCTTTGCGAGTTTTTTCATCACTGACGCTGCATTTGTGTCTGGAAAACGACGAAGAAAACACAGGCTGGCAGAGCGAGACCAAAATTTGACTATCCGAACTCGGTGGAGCTGTCCTTTAGCCCACACGCTCCGGACCAGAACCCGGAAGTGTGAGTGAACTAAACCAAACAGCACACGCACGACAACCCCGGGACGACTACCCACTTCTATAGTTATCAATAACTGGGAAACAATTGTTGGGCAATAGACCGCCAATTGAACACCAGCCAAAAAATCTAGCTAATATTTTGTATATTTACATTAGGTGTACAGTACTCACCTGTTACTGGATTTTTATCCGGGGTCAGCACAACAATGCAACCAACAGATATCCGCGCGGCCATTTTGATACTTTCCTGGAAAGTTAGTTTGTTCAATGCATGTTTTCTCAGCGTTGTACGCATAGGCTGATACGCTACCCGCATGTCAACATTTTGCCATTATCATCACTTGATTTTATGTATAATATTTAATGCTACAAGTATAATAAGTGGAATAAGATAGTTTTAATTATGTGTAAATGTGAGTGGAATTATATGTTTCGTCAGTTTTAAATCACTTTGACATACGGGTGAGGGGTAGAATAGGCAGGGGCATATGCAAACACCGTTACAATCACACGAGGGTTGAAAATCCAAATTAATCAGGACTATTTTTTATTTATTTTTTTCCTATTTTTTTTTCCTATTTTTTTTTTTCATCGCGATGGAAAATCTTGAAAAAAATAATACTAATCGATTTATTTGGATTTTCAGCTCTCATATTATATTGTTATGTTACATTATGTTATAAGTTGCCGAACTTTTATTAGGCTTTCAAGAGGGTGGGCAAGGGGGAATAGTTGGTATAGGTTACAGAAAATAAAAAAGGCATTTTATGTTTTTACAAGAAATAAAATGAAACTTCAATTTACAGTAAAAAAAATAGGGTTTTACACTTTACAGATAATTACATTTTACATTTTTTTCCAAATATATTTGACAATTTGTGTTTAAGAATCAAACAATATCACACATTGAATAATCCTCCGGTCAACGCGTTCTGATGTGACAAATCTTCTGGGGTTGTGTAACGCGAATCAGGCTAGGGATTAATGTCGAACTTAACCTGTGATATTATTTCCGGTGTCATATACTTCCCGGTGTTCTCCCCTTCAAGAATTGCATTTTTATCTTCTTGAAAACCAGTAGCCTGAGTGTTTTAATGTTTACAGTGTTTAGTATACTACTAGCTTGAATGATTTTATTTTTGTGAATATTTTAGGTCATTTTTGTCAAAACTGCTATTTCTGACGACTTCTTGAAAACTTCCAGCTCAATTGAAATGATACATGTTATGTAGGTATCTTATATTTATATTTTCACATTTTATTCTAGTAAAACAATAGTATAGTTGAATTACAAAAAAATGCAAAATAATGTAAATTCTTTGTAATCCTTAAAAAATACAACATCTGGTGTTTGCATGTTGAACTTCCACGTACACTCACCAAGCTATGCACAAACAGAGGTGCTCGTCATATTGCTAGGTTGTTGTATTTTGTTTATAGTAAGGTAACTGTTGAGTCACCGAAGGGTGTCTAGTATGATCGTAATTCGTCACATGTAAAAAAATATCACATTGATAGTCGAGCAGTAGAGTCCCATGATTCTTTGGTAGAGCCAAATGAGCCTAAATCACCTGTTAAATCCCCATGTGAGTCAATAACTGGTAAAAACACATGTTGACTCACCAGGGAGAGAATTAAGCCAAAGATATTTGATAATTTCATCATGAACTGAATATATAGGACATGCAGTATAATAAGAATTATACCGGTAAAGTACCTCTGATTATACAATGTGACACTGAGAACTGTTTTTTGAGTTATGAAGTTTATAATTACTGTTGAACTTTTGAGTGCAGACTATGCAAATTTAGTTGAGAACAATATTGTTAACCTGAATGTTGTTAAAAATTTTATGTTGCTGAGTTCATTGTTATAAAGTCAACTTTTACCATGGTGATATGTAGCATCACTCTGAAAGGGGAGGGATGTCATATCCAGGTAATAGTATATGTTGTATGTGTTATAATAATAATAATAATAATAATAATAATAATAATAATAATAATAATAATAATAATAATAATAATAACTTTATTGCATCCTTAGAATAACAAATGTTCTATTGGTTTACAGCAATAAATATATAAGTGATTAAAAAAATCAAAGTACGATAACGTAAAAAATAGAAAAAAAGAGTCAAGGTATTATATCCAAAAAAAGCTCATTTCTTAAAATAAATGATTTATGTAAAAATTCCCCTAAAAGTTTTATTATATTTCTGTCATTACTTTTCATTAAATATGTGAATTTTTGCAGGTTGGTAATGATTTCTTTGGGGAGTAAAATATTGGAAATAAAATCATGTTATGAATTATAGCGCCATCTAGTGGCGGACTTGAGATAGGGTCAAGGGTCAATAAAATGGCGGGCTTGTTGTTCACTTGCACTATAGTGTATGTGAGTTTCATTGGTTAAATCCAGCTTCATCTGGTGACATCAGATGTAACAGTCCCTATCTGCAACAGTGTTTGAGAGATGACAATTATGCATATTAACACCCGTTTGACAAAACAAAAAATGGCATTGATATTATCTTTGATGAAGTTCAGATTTCGGGTGAGATGAACACCCAGGTCTTTAACCTATGAAACTCTGGATAAAGTTTTGACAGAGGGTGAGTAGTTAAAGATAATTGTTGATTTCTTGTTTGTTTTGTGGAATGTATTAACCCTTTGACTGAAGTTCCCATGCTCTATATTAATTACTCCTCCATATTATGGCATTATCAATACCAGTGGATTTTATGACGTAATTCCTGCAGATTATTATTTATTATTTATCATCTAGGGCCCGTATATTAATCGACAAATTAAATTAATAACAATTCAATTGAACAATGTAATATTATATTATGGCGGGACTGGCATGATTAGGACAGGATGTGTTTAATGTTTTGTTCTGTCGTGTCTTTCCAACAAAGCAGTTACAGCATACATGCAGATTGGATGCGGGTAAGGCGAGACCAACGAATCGATAACACCCAAACAAAATATTAATTACAAATAGCAATAATAATTAAATTAAAAATGTTAGCACAGCAATGGTGTAAATATATTTGCATTAGTCTCATTAAGTAGGACCGACATTTTAATTACATATAACACAAATATAACAATGTTGGATATGCAATACTAGAGGAGGAGATGGAAGAGGCTGTTTGAATGGTCCGTTTGGTGAAATTTGATGCATTGGTAAAAGGAAATAATTGTTATAAAAAAATATACAAAATAACTAAATTAGTAATGCTTAAATTTAACGTAACAAAACATGTAAACAAAATTAGCACTATGAAATTTGGGGTTTTTGAACCCTGATACGCATCCAAACCAACCTACCAACTCATAAACATTCAGTTCCTGCTATGTAAAGATTAATATCGAGAATTATTTTCATCTTCTAGTTTTAATAAGGAAAAAACGACGCGTACCAACATGCTGATATCACTAACAAAATCTAGTCAAAACGGCGTCGTTCATGTTAACGTGGTCGATCGAAAAATCTGTGATATTTCTGATTCTTGGGAGTTTGTAACAGTTCAAGTCAACTATACAACTACTAATGACTTTATTCGATGCAAAAGTCTAAAACAATGATTCAATTTTTGTATATAAATGATGTTTTAGCACTGACTAGCGTACATTGTCATTTAAAAACGTCGCCATTTGCATTTATGATCAAAAAGAGCATCCATAAAAATCGCCCAATTTAACATTAATAAAATGCGGTGTGACAAATACCAAATCAGCCCACCAATTTTTAATGATATGTTTTGAATTATAAAATGTCAAAACCCAAGACAAATATTGGTTTCGTGCTGAGAAAAAAAGTAAATAAAATAGAGTTCATTTCAATCATACTTCCACATTAAGTGAGTGAGGGTGTGAAGCCCACCTCTCGTAAACCATACACACTTCTAAACCATTGTTTTTCTATTTACATACCCACTTCTAAACACAAGTGTTTTCAGCGAAAAAAAACAACACCCAACTTACAACTTTTGCAACCAGTGAGCGCATCCGGGCAATGCATTTTATTCAGCCTTTTCCGGTATTTGGCTTTGAATATAAAGACCTGTGAACAATTTGTTGCGAAAATGTATCGCTGCTGGTAAAATAGATGAATTAAATACAAACACAAACAAATCAATGACCATTTACTCTTGGCGCAACAAATGCATATTGGTAAATTTCAAACGAGCCAATCAACGAGCACAGTGTGGAGGTATGTAAATGTGTCGAAATGGATATAGTGCGAGTGGTTAGTGCTAGTAGCACTAATCCGAAAAAGGACTAGATCTAGTGCTAAAATGGCAAATTATGATGCCATATATGAACTAAATAAAAAATGTGTATACTGCTAATCTAAGTCCCGGGTCCCTGCAAAGCTCGGTGGATTTTGTGTGTACGGCACCCTGTGAATGGGCATGTTGCTTAGTACCACTGGGAACTAGACAGAAAATGAACCGTTGTCTGGTTGTCATGACATTGACCTTAGCGTACATAATCAACCAATGGTAAAAGTGGATTCACGCAATCCTGTTTTTACATTGTACCATGGAGGTACTGTCATGAATTTGTTTTCGCGTATCTGTTAATCGACTTAATTAGTTGATTATTAGCGAATTGCTGTGTTATGTCTGTCATCGTTTAGGCCTATTTGAAGTTTTGGACGGAACTTGGCTCAGTGATTTGGAACTAATTACCAGATAACCGTCGCTATTCTGACTATTAATTCTTACAGTTGGTATTCGTAGTTATTAATGTAGTGAACGATTAATCAAAAGATATGACGTATTCAGTACTTAGTGTGATTGGCTTTATGATTGAAGGTTACCCCTAGAGTCTTTTTACTGTTTTGTAATTGGTTAGAGTTTTGAAAATGAATAAAGAGAGTTTGAGTTGGTCTTGGCGAATACTCCACGATAGACGCGGTCGAGAGTCGAGTCCTGGAGAGACTCGGGGCGAGTGTTGACGCAGTCTAAGAGAGTGTTGGGTCAGCCTTGCGATAGTCTTGGGGATATTTCCCCAGGGCGCTGTGTCTTATAGAGTGCTCGATTGACCGACTAAGACAAGAGCTGAAACGTATTTCGTTGTGTGTGTCTTATTTGACTGTAAAGTTAAAGTGACTTTCCCGATCCCGTACCTCAAGGGGACGCGATAGAGAGATGAGACGAGATTCCCCCCTGACAAGTGTGGAGAACCCAGAGGAGAAGAATTTCTCCCCTGATAGTACTAAGGAAGAAGCCATGATCTATTGTTTTAGCTTTACCCTATGATCGTTTGTCAATGTTCGTTTATTTTGGCGTAATTTTTCGGACATTTCAATCTTTCCTGACGTCAAAAATAGTCTATTTAAGTTTTTATTCAAGAGCGTGTTTATTGTGACTAGTGTGAATGGGTAAGCTTCGTTTGGACAAAGCGCTGTTGTCACTATAAACAATGTTAAATTATTCTTCTAATGCTCAACTCATCTTTTGAAAACAACTATTTTTAAATTTGAAAAAAAAAAATCATGCCATTTCCCCATCAAAATCCAAGCCAAAAGATCGTACTACAAATCTCTTCCGTGTTGCGTTCAATAACATTAACATATTTAAATAATTACGGTTACTTTTAGTAACCGTGAAATAAGCTATCAGCTCTGGTGAGCTATGGTGATTTGAACACATTGGCATCATCCAGCATTTTGATTGGTTAATTAGCAATTTGACCTCAACTTATGCAAGAGAAACATGGCGGACACCATACAGCATAGAGCGATTATATGCGATCGAAATCATTTGCTTACGATGAAACTAAGTTGAATTTTATTTGAATTTCATAACAATTTAAATTCATTTAAAATATACTTTCGTTACCAATAAAATAAAAACAAATGTATTTGATAAATGACACTGGGCGACATTGTAATGAAATTTCAGGCGGTCTACTTCTTATTTCATCAAGAATTATTAATTATTGTTAATTCTGCAATAGTTTTTTTTTCTTCTTGGGTGGCCCAACTGATGGCGTTGGAAGTCTACGTAGTTGGATACTTAAAATATTTAATGATTATTTTTTGAAATTTTGAACCCCAAATGAGCTCCACCAGCCGTGAAATCCTGAGGGCGATTTTTCGGATGGGCGAATTTACGGTAGAATCCGGTATTATATAAAGAAAGTATTATTATGAACATCTCGCGCATATTGCCAATGTTTTATACTGTTTGTAGTTTGCATATGAAAGTGGTTGTCGATGCCCCTCCTATTATTCGACATCGTTGACAATGCAATAACAATGCCACTCGCACTGTGCACATTTTAGCACTAGACCTAGTGCCATTTTAGCACTAGATCTAGTGCCATTTTAGTATTTATAAAGATGCCTTTGTTGCGCCGAGAGTAAATGTCAAGAAAAATAAAGTAAATACAAAAATATAGCTGCATAGCAGCTATTAACGGTTTTCAAATAAAGGGCCATAATACCATTGAATTTGAAAAAAAAGTTTTGAAGATTTGATTTGTGCAAACTTTATACATGTTGGTTACAAGATGGTCTTGTCCAATGCCCTCACTATAGCGTTATTTCCATGTCTCTAACTTCAATAGTGCTCGAGATATTATAGATATCAGGGATCTGCCCACGCTGGTCGGCGCTGGTCGCATGCGACCAGTACTCAGAATTTGCAACCATCACAAAAAGTACGTGACCAGCACTATTGTTCTCAAAACTTGCATGTCACTGCGTGCCGGCCAAGTGATATCCCATCCCAAGTGATTAACACAACGGCTATTTTGAGTGACGGTCGCGTCGTACATGAAATAAAAACAGTCTTGTCGATTTAATTGAAACATTTAGCACCTCTTTTATTAGTTGTGAAATCAAAAGAGAACAAAATGCATGTAACACACCATTTCCCGATTGCCTAGCAAGAGAGAAGTACTGTCTGATTGCCAAACTTTACTTAGTAAACTGTTCCCGAGTCTTTGTTGCTTTTATACAACCAGCATGTCGTTACTGAAGTTCATCACCTCTACAAAGCGTAAGAGTACCGTTGCTTCCGATAAAGAGAATGCTGTGCCGACACCAAAGAAATCCAGAGTGGAAAGTAACGACAAACCATCATCTCCACGTAGAGCCCAAGCTTCGAACTTTCGCAATGAGTGGATCACTGGTCGCATATCATGTTTGTACTTTCACCAAGGCGATGGAATGTATTGCAAGTTATGTCAGAAGTTTAATATGTTGCCGAATGATCGTGACATATGGAATAAAACGCCATGTAAACGACTGAGATTAGGCAGCATCAAAGACCATGAGCAGACAGCAGCACACCACGAAGCTACGAGACGGGAACTGACTTCTATTTCCAGTCAAAATATTGCCGAGGTTATACAGCCAGAAGTAAACAATGACGCCATAACATCCGCTTTTCAAGTGCTGTATTTTTTAGCAAAGCGAAGAATACCACATACGACTAACTTTGAACCGATGTTGGATCTATTAACGCAGCTTGGTATGTCCGTGAAAGACGATCTTCACGTCAGTAAAAATGCAACATATTGTAGTGACAAGTCGATTCAAGAAATGACCGGCATTCTTTCGTCTGTACTTGAGAGTGAAACCATCGACGTACTTGTCGTGTTAAGCAATTTGATCGTTATTATTGAAAACACTGATTATTGTATTATCGAAGTTTCTTAAATACTGTACTTTATATATTTGATTACATGTACCATTTTTGCTTTAAACCACGTCTATAAATAGACATGTTGGTGACACAAGTGCGAACATGATAGAAAACACCACTTTATTACGCATTTCTATAATGGTAACTTTCGAACAATGAGGGACATTCCCGCCTAGGGTTCAGAATCCCACCGATCCTATAAATAGGACGCGCAAGTGTTTTAGCGCCAGTCTTTACCGCGTTGTTGTGTTCAACAGTTATTTTCATATCTCTTTATGGTAAATTCTCCGGTGTATCAGTGGATATACTGTATTGATGTAATAAACTACTTTTACGTGTTTATTACTTACGTATTCGTTTCCTATGATTGATTTGTTTGCATAGCCTGGCATTTCTTACTTATTTTGAATATAACCCAGTCACGAATCATAACCCCACAGTACTCAAGAAGTCAGATTTTTTTGGGATCATGCTCGACAAAACAACTGATGTCAGTGTCAACGAACAATTAACTTTAAATTGCAGATATATAACACCAGATGGCAATTTAACAGTCAAGTTCTTGAAAATGATTGAACCCCTGAAGCCCGATGACGACAACAATCAGAGAGTAACACTCGGAGCTGAAACAATAACACGACACATTACAGCGTACTTGGAAGAGAAGGGACTAGATTATAAAAGGCTTGTTGGTATTGGAACAGACGGTGCAGCCGTGATGATGGGAAAGCGATCCAGTGTGGTAAAACGGCTACAAGAGTTAGCAACGAAAGCGATTGGAATTCATTGTTGTGCCCACAGGCTACAATTGGCATCGTCACAGGCAACGAACGCAGTCCCCTACGTCAAACGGTTTACTTCGATTTTGCGACAGTTTTATGACTTTTTCAACAACAGTCTAGTTCGTATGGCAGGGCTTCACGCAATTCAAACTGCGTTGCATGAAAAAGAATTAAAGCCAGTGGAGCCATCATCGACAAGGTGGCTGAGTATTGAGATGAGCGTGACCAGACTAAAAAACACATTTATTAGCGTGTTATTAAGCTTGGACAGAGAAGGTGAAGAACGGGGTGAAGCTAAGGCCGTTGGTTTGAAAAACTTGATGATGTCGTGGAGGTTTGTTGCTACAATGTTACTACTCTGCGACTTGCTCCCAAATGTCAACAAGCTGTCACGAGCCTTCCAAGATAGCGAGTTTGAACTCAGTGCAATGAAGCCATTGATCGCATCGACTGTGTCAACGATATCGGCCATGGAGTCCAGTGATGGTGAAAATTTGGAACAGCTACCAGTATTTATTAACAAGCTTTGAGATGTTGACATTACTATAAATAAACGTGCGGACGACGATGATTTTTTTCAACGCCACATCAGAAGCAAGTATATATCAGTTTTAGTCAACAACATCGAGCAGCGCTTTCCAGAAGAAGACACTGGAATTCTCACCCACTTCATTATTTTTGACCCACACAAACTCGCCAATGCTGATCAGCCAACCTACAGAAATGATGAAATACGAGCGCTGTATGGCCATTTTTTTCTCATTGAAAACCAGTCAGACAAAACAGCAGACAGCGTCAACGAGTGGACCAACTTCAAAAATTACGCAGAAGACGCAATTTTGAAACAACCACACTTAGATTCAGGAGTTTTTGTTCAATCGTTGTGTACTACGTGAGATTACCACGTAATCGTCTCAGTCAAAGAAGTCTGGATAGCCTAGTGCGCATAGCCATCGACGGGCCAATCACGAAAAACTACAACTATTCAGCTGCTGTTACATTGTGGGCTGAGATAAAAAAAACGCCGTATTTTTCATAAGTATCACGGACTTTACCTAGTGAACCACTTAAATTCAGGACTCGTGTCACTATTTTGTCAGGAATTGTCAACAATTTAATGAAATTGATTTTACTGCAAATGTGTTTTTTTTATCTGGTCGGACTATTACTAAAAAAAGTAAATACAAAGAAAAAAATAATTAATTTATTTCCTGTTATTTATTGAATCTGAGCACAACCAGTCAACTCACTCACTGTATTTCTAATGCCAACGTTTCCACTATAGTAAAGAAATGAGCAATAAGTTGACATTTTGTTACCAGCCGACAGAACTGTATTTTAAAAATCTCATAGTTTTTGTTATGTAATGAAAAATAAATAACACAATGATATGACACATTTCTTCTGTAGCTTGTATCTTCTGTACAAAAGCAGTACTCAACACCCAAAACAATATGGATATTTCCAGGGTCTGTCAACCTTATGAATATTAATTAGCTCATGAATATTAATGAGCGACCAGCACTCCCAAAGAGCTGGGCAAATCCCTGGATATTGCATATTTAATGAGTTCTAGGACCATATATGTTCATTGAACCTGTTAGCAAATTTTTTTGTCCAATGCCTTCAATATATTGTTGGTTTCATGTTTGTACATGCAATAGTGCTTGAAATATTGCAGAAATGCATATTTAATGAGATCTATGACCTCACATGAGAATTCCAGACCCTCAGAATTTGGTGTAATTAAGCACTTCCGGGTTTTATTAAATCCAAGATGGCGGCGGAACCGCGTGACTAATCGAAAATCTGAAACAGTCACTTTGTAGAGCGTGACATGTAGAATAGATAATAATGACCTTATGTGCTCATATGGTATATTAGTCGCATCTATGGTCGAATAGCTTTAAGACTGCACTGATAGCATGTCCCTAGCTGTAACAATGCTTGAGATATAACTGGGATGCATATTAATGAGGTCACATGTATAATCAACTGATATGTTTGTCTCTACTAATGGCTTTAATATCGCACTGGTTGCATATTCTTATCTGCAGTAGTGCTGTAGATATTATTGTTACACATATTGAGGTCACATGACTAACTATGACCAACCGAAATGTTTGTCACATATTTAATGAAGGACACATGACCATGTAATGTCATTTGATATCTTTGTCACATCTCTTGTCCAATAGCTTCAATACTATGCTGGTTTGTGTACCTATCTGTAATAGTGCTTGAGATATTACATCTATGCATATTTAATGACGTCACATGACCATATATGGTCATCTGATATGTTAGTCACATCTCTTGTCCCATAGCTTCAATGTTGCACCAGTTGCATGTTCTTATCTGTAACAGTGCTTGAGATATTACGTTATGCATATTTAATGAGGTCACATGACTGTTTGTTCATCTGATAACAGTTGGGCAATGTGTTTTACACAAGATAACAGTTGGATGGATTGTCTTTTGACACTAAATTGTAGTTATGTGGCAATATAATTGTGGCTTGACGACTGAGCTGTATTTTATCAGGCGTTGCCGAGCTGGTTCAATTTGTAGACTTATGGATAACGTCTCGTAGTATGTAACTCGTCAAACATCGTTTATTGTCAACTGACTAAAGTTTAGAACAATACAAAAAACTACACTCTTGAGCTCGTGAAAACTCCAAAAGAAGAACGTAATCGAACAGTAATAAAGTTGGCGCACTGAAACTGATAAGCAGCCTCTTTCTGGTACCGGTCTCTGATTGGTTATATTTATTGGTAATATTTAGCGTTCTTGCTACATGCAGCGACAATAATCATGCAAATTCACACCTAGTTACAGTAAATCATGTATGGTTACTATACATTTTTGCATGATTTTTTGTAGATTATATACATATGATGCAATACTTTTGGTTTTTGATGCACTTATCATGACCCTCCGGGAAATAGCAGCCCTGGAACTTAGCACTGAAGAAAACACTATTATGATGGAAGGGCAAAAGACTAGATCAGGTGTCAGATCTAGAGCTAACCTGGTGCCAGAGGATACTGCAGTAGAAGGAAGAGTGGCAGTAATGCCCCTGTGTCTGAGAATACTGAATGTCAAGAGGTGACAGTGACAACAAATTACAGTGATGCCCCGGTACCAGAGAATACTGAATCTCCAAAAGTGACAAATAATGACAGTGATACCCTTTTGCTAGAGGACACCGAGCCTCAAGAAGTGACAACAAATGACAGTGATGCCCCAGTGGCAGAAGCTACACTGCGTGAATTCCCCAAAGATAGTAGTGGGGATAATCCAGAGATAGACTACTCCTCCAAATCACACCTTTGTCTCTTATAATGAGTCAGAGGGAAATTATTAAAATATTGTAGAGATGGAAATTGATGAGTCAGATCGAATTGAGACAGAAGATGAACTGGAAGATCCTATAAATACAGAGGATGTGAATAGAGGGAAACAGCATGAGGTCAGGAATATGGATACAGGGGAACAGTCAGAGGATGAGGAGACAGGAGAGGAGTTGACAGAGGAAGACTACTGATGACCATGTATGGCCATGTGACCTCATTAATATGCATAGCTGTTATATCTCAAGCACTGTTCTAGATATAAACTTACAACCAGCACTATAATCTGGCATTGAACAACAAATGCATCGGAGGACCATATATGGTCATGTGACCTCATGCTTAACTTTGATATCTCATGCACTGTTGTAGATAGGGATATGAAATCAGTGCTATAGTGAAGAAAAGTGAAATTTGATCTAACTGAAATTTAAGATGACCATATATTGTGACCTTGTTAATGTACATAACTGTCATATCTCAATCACTATTTCAGATATAAACTGGCAACCAATAATATGATGAAGTCATTAGACAATGGATATGATAAATATATTCGATGACCACATATAGTTATGTGACATAATTAATATTCTTGTTTTGTTACATAAGCTTTTTTCTTGTTCGGGCTTCTGTAGCTATTACCCCCAGGTATTTCCTGATACAGATCATTCTCTTCTCCACATTTTTGCTTAGCCACACTTGGTGATTTGTTTGATGTATTGAGGATGTCATTCAAATATCATACTTTGTAGTTGATTGGATGGTGGGCAGTTATGCATTAATCTGGTTTGCCCATTTTCCCCGCGGAAAATAAATTAAAAGACATTTATCTTTTACATCTTGTGTTTAGGCAGGTTCTGCCCGGTAGCCAGTCTGATAACTCACTGGGTGTGTTTTGAGGTAATTTAGTTAATTCTGAATAGTTACCCAGTATCGTAAACACACCTAAATATAGGCGGAACCCCCTCCTCTCACTCATATTAAAATTGTTTTCTGGTGAGCAATCCATTGTTTGGTGTGAATTATAGCAAGTTATAGGGCAAGTATGTTCGGGTCGTATTGTTATTATAAGAACTAACTTAAGAGTTCTATTTCATCGCAATTTGTAGTTTCAGTGCCAAGTGACCGTAATTGTGGGCAGATAACGACATAAGCCACAACAAAGTGGAAGTGTATTCATTCACATCACAGTGCAGTATACATATTCATTTAATACATATCACATGACAGCGATGTACTATTTAAACATCTTCATTTATGTAGCGGTTCCTACCATACCAAGATGTTCTATTAACTTTTAACTGCTTGCTTTATTAATTGTTTGTTATAATACGCTTTTTCTTCAAGGTGTATCCAAAGATTTCATCTGTCATCACAAGTGTTTGTTTTTTCCCGAGAATACAAATGTTTGTCGAAATTACTCATAGGAAACCTTTTGCATATTGCATGAAGTATATTGTATATTATGCGTGAAACAGTATTTTAATCCAAACTTTATTTTTAAAATTGTTTTCCTATCATTGCTGTTTTAAATTCAAATTTAGAAAAGAGAATGACTTGCCACCAGACTGAAGAACCTGCGTTGATTTTCTCAATTAAGTAATCAATCCAATAAGAAATATATAAGAAGTGAAGTTTTATTCAACCTCAAAACGCATGTGTAGATTTGGTAATGTGCAAAACTTATGACAGAGATCTTCATTCTCAATCTCAGTCGCTAATGCATGTTGGAGTACATCTTCATTTACTAGGGGTGTCACAACACACACCAATTATGGCCATGTATAGCGAGTTAGGCAGATACCCCTTAGACGTATTTATAAAAAAACAAATAATTAAATATTACAATCGGGCCATGAATTCTAATAATGCGTTACTCAAGGAAGCTTTTGTGGTTAACCAAAACATTAAAAGTAAATGGTATCTAGAAGTAACATCATTATTAAACAATATCCAACAATATCATTCAGTTAACAACTGTGATAAATTAACCTCGGCACAAATGAAACAAATTGATTTGGATCAAGGATTTATTTCTAACAAGATGGAAAGGTGAGGTCCATAATGATAATTAACCGCACCAAAGCAAATGAGAAAAACAAACTGAGAACATATCGGCTAATCAAACCTTGAGCCATATTTAGTCAAGCTAAAAAACTTTAAACAGCGTAGTGTGCTTACCAAATAGTCTCAAAATTGAAATGGGTAGTCATAAAAAAATCCCATTAAACAACAGGGTTTGTGACATGTGTAACAAAGGTCTAATCGAGGATGAAATGCATTTTCTGCTGGAATGCAACAAATATAATGAGTTGCGTACTAAACTGTTCAATAAAGCTAAGGATATGGTCACAGCATTTGAAAATAAACCTGCAGAGAAAAAAATCATGGAATTGTTAAACAATGAAAACGTTATTATACCAGTAGCACAGTTCATAAGCAAAAGCTTCAAAGTCAGGAAGCAGGGTCTTACTTGACATCTTAATGCCTGTCAATTTAGTAATTTTTTATTAGTTAGGAATTTAGAGATTTTGTATTATTTAGTAATTTAGTGATTGTATTTGTTATTCAGTATATTGTGTTTTTGTTCTATTTTTATACCTATTTTTCTCCTTGTACTTTGTGACCATTTTCTTTCCCTCCAGGGATTGTGTATGAGTCAATAAGTAAATAAATCTCACATGCATGGTAGACCCTGGGGCATGTGCAAAGTGCAAGCGTGATGAATTAGAACTTCACTCCTCAACACACATCCAATGTTTCGGGCATGTTCAAGCTTTAAGAAGTAGATGTTCACTCTCGATCAAAATGGATTTGTAGATTCAGATAAGTGAAGGCATGATTGAATACATCTTCACCTACAACATACATGCATTTTGTTCAAGGATGTGCCTGTTCGACAGAAGAGAGCTTCACCTTTTAGATTCATCTGTAGATTCAGAGATATGCATGCCCGATGGAGTAGAGCTTCACCCTGAAGTTGAATACATAAATTCTGGTTTGTGTAAGCCTGACGACGCACATCTTCACACTCAATGCATCTTAAGCTTGATGGTATAGATCTCCACACAGTGGGTCAGGCATGTGCATGCATAAAGGAGTAGATCTTCACTCGCACACACATTAATATACTGAGGCATGTGCAAGCCAAGCCGATTGCAGTAGAACTTCACCCTCGTTGTGCAATTGTAGATTCAGGAATGTGCAAACATACATACATGTCTGGCTTGTATAAGCCCTAAAACGCAAATCTTCACTCTCAACACACATGTGTATATTCAGGCAAGTGCAAGCCTGTTATTCTAATTGTTAAATAACTTAATAAACACTCACACACTTTTTCCCCAATTTCAAACCTTTTATTGAATTTAACGTTCCGATGAAAGTCATATTTCCGATTCCATATAACTCAACAGTACATGTCTCGAATAATTTTATATCAGAACCCTAGAATCTCCAAATCACAACATAATGACAAAATCATTCTAAAACTTATAACACCAAAATAATAATTAAGATGATTAATCTTAGGCGACCAAATTCCCATAGGACTTCAAATTGATAACATGTAATCAGTAGGTCTGCTTGGCCCCTGGACACTCTTAATTGCACCTGTAAGGTCGAAGAAAATAACGTATTTAATTTATAATGCTTAAATTGTTTGTGTAGCTGCAGGTTCTTTGTTTGTTCTCACTGTCCGTATTATTATTATTATTATTATTATTATTATTATTATTGATCACTTCGTCAAAAAATTTAACTAATGAATTTTCACACGAAAAGTGCTTGAAGTTATTCACATTTTTGTGGGTTTTAAAAGAAATTGTATCAAAGATTAAAAAATTGTAGGCATTTTCTAAACTTGACATGGAGAACAAGCAGTCAATTAGATTGTAAGAGAGATTTGCATCTGGTTGCAAAACAGCAATTATTGACGTACATGTTTTCTCGGAAGAACCAATCGATTAGTTTTGAGGAGAGACTTGCATCTAGATGCTATATAACAATTATTTTGGCAGTGCATTTGATTTTCGGGACTGTCCTTCACTAACCAAATGATTAGATTGTGAGAGGGGAACTAGATTTGGTTGTTATAAAATAATATATAACAATATGGTAGAATTATTTAAAATTAAGTACTTTGTAGATTTGCACTCTCAGAGTGCCTTCTCATTAAATTTATTTTCCTGCCACTACCTAGTAACCAACAGAGACTATTCATAATTTAGCTTCAGTACAATAACATACAATATCAATTTTATGTAAAGGGTGTGTCAATTTAGGTTGTATTCAAGTTGTTTGTTTTATTATGAACCATACTGGGCTTGCCAAAACAATCTCTACTTAATACAGAATAAACAAACTTACACTTCTTCGTTTACTTTCCAGCTTTCTCCAAACTGAATAGCGTCATTAGTACTAGTACCATCAGGCTTCTTGAAGTCATTATGCTTGTCACCATCAGCATCTCCCATCAGACCACAGAGTTTGCCGTTGTAATCAAAACCAGAGAATGACGCTTCTAAAATATGTTTTCGCATTGTCCATGTCAGAGTGTATGTTGTATCCTTGGTTGTGAATGTCAGTGTAATCACGCTATCTTTTTCCTGAATCTGTATAGCAGTTGAATCCACATGTCCATCACCTGTACTTCCCTATATATCAATATATGCTAAAATGTTAGGTATTGTGAACAGTACTACATGTGAATGTGGTCAATATAGTAGATAGTCAAATGTATGTATGTGTTAGCTATACAATATTAATCAACATACTTACTTTGACTACATCCATGCCATTAACAATAGCATACTGGTCTCTGACAGTAACTTTGAAAGATACTGTCCTTGTTTTGAATAGTTCAATATCATCTCTTTTTTCAACCTTAGTTTTGACTTCAAAATCAGGGTGTGTGGTGCAGTCTTTGAAAAATGTATACCAGCATGCACCTTGAAAACTGTATCGACGTCCATCGAATGTTGTCATATGTGGATCACCTGATGCAACTGCTCTCGCTTCTGACATGTATAAAGGATATGATTTTAATTTTGGGAATGTACTGACATTGTCTGCCTGCAAACATCGACAAATAACATGTAACATCCAAAAAAATCTTAATTTTCTTTTTCTTTTTTAATTTTTGTGCCAGGCGACAGTTCTGGACATTGAGTATCACTGTTGTCTCTCCTGACATTTATTTGTGTGTGCAAATTACAAGTGCTAGTGCTGACACATAGTGCATTTTGCCACAGAAGTCATATTCATGTTTGGGACTACATGACAGGGCTGTGTGACCATCTCTCTGTCAAATGGCATTTTTTAATGCGCTATCCTGGCGTCAACCAGGCTCGGTCAAACACAAGCACCTGCGGACCTTAACCAAAGTTCCCCCAAAGTCGCATTCGTTAGTGAATGAATCTCGGCCAGTGGAATTGGCCTTCCCATTGAGTCTGTGGCACACTCACCCAGGGTAGAGGCCGACCCTTTGATGTTCAGGCTAAGGTAGGATTTAAACTTGGGTCTACCGATCATGAGTCTGATGCGACAACCTTAATTAACTCTTATTTAACTGAGACTCCAAAACAAAGTTATACCACAAATTTAGTGAGTTTCAAGTGTATTTACCTGTAGCCCAATCCTGAGTTGTATGTTGTCAAAGCATACATCTATTACATAACTTGTTATAGAAGGACAATGGGCCAATGACCTGTAGATATCACACCCGGGTTATGTATGTATCATTGTGAATTACATGATGTAATTCATTCATTCACTCATAGACCCTCTAAAAGAGAGGGTCTATGATTCACTAAACACCTCAGCTCATTCAGTAGAACGTAAATGCTGAAGAAAAACGTAAAAAATTACTGGTATATGAGAAGAATAGCAACAAGCTAAATATTTGTATTACCTGCCTTAGACATTTACTAGAGGCTCGACCTCAAACAGGCTATTACCGGTACCTACTGTTACTGCCATACATTAACTATCAAAAAATGTGAAGCCATATTGAAATGAGTTCTTGAGTAGAGAAATTCACAAATAGATATCTACATAGAGAAACGCGTCATGGTGTGTTAACCAATAGCCCAAGGTTTTTTATGACACAGTGTTAGTACAAGTAGTCAAGGGAATGGGACCTGAGGTTTATGCTGCCAACAACTCATACATGATCTCTACATCATAAACATTAATACAGCATGAAGTTGTAAGCAATGCAATTACTGACAATGATTCTAATTTTCCTTGTTTTGAAGTGTCACTGTTATCAAAAATTATTTACAGTTGTAGCTATATTTTGAAAGATTGTATTAATGATATTTTGTGAGGACATTTGGTTCAGTGTAAGCTTTATATTTATTCTAAACTTGACATTATTTTTTAGAAATAGGAATTAACATAACACCTTTTATGTGCATTATTTATTGTTCATGTTTATATAAACATCCACCGTCAATATGGGAAAAAACATGGGGTCAAGCAAAGAAAGACAATTTGGGTCATCACTGTTATTTGAACAATACACTCAGAAGGCATAGTTTCTATAGTTGCTGTTCGTTTTATTGGAGTGGCGCAGAAAGTGTTGAGTATGCTTAATTCAGAGGGAGAGATGTTAAATGGAAAATGTTAATAGACCAACAATTTGTACTGGATGGACAAATTAGCATGTACATATCAGAATTGTGGACAGTTCAGAGCAAACAAAATGCAAGCTTTCAGCCAGCGATGGAATCAATGAAACAATTGACTACGATGTCACATCCTGGGATGAATATACAAGACCAAAGAAGAGAGGCCAAGTCACCCTTTAATGTAGTATTTTTTTTTAATGTTGAGCGTATCACCCTCATTTAATGTATTGCAAACCGAAATGCCGAAAATAAGAATTTAAATTGGCAATTAAAACGGATATCACGAGATTGCCCATAGGAAATATATTAACCAGCATGGAGCCCAACGTGGCTGCTTGCAGTTACATTTAACAATTGATACCATCTGTAGAATGTTTGATACAGGAAAGATTTTATGTAAACAAAAACGTAAGCATAAGTAATTCCCTGTTGTTTGTTGAATTTCATTGCTGATAGCACTTGTCTCATTAGGATATACTGCTTGTATGGAAATACCTACCTACAGGGTAGAGGGTTTCAACATTGCCAATTCATAAGTACTTTCTGTCCCTGGCACAGATTGAGGGTTTCCAGAATTGTATTCTTCGTAGTTAATGATAAAATCGTCGGCTACAGCGATCGCAGACCAAGAAAGAGATATTGTTGTTGTTGTAAACCCTGTAACTTGCAGTGATGGTGCTGGTGCAGCTGTTGAACGAATCATAATTGTAATTAATATTTGAATAAGCAAGTCGATACATTCTGAAAACTGTTGATAAAGTAATACGAATATCACTTAGATAGATACTTACATGTCATTTGACTGACTGTACAGTTATTGAATGATAAATTGTGCCGGGGTTCAGATTTGTTATGACATGATTTGTCTCCGACACTGGAACATCTATGGAATGGAATAATCCAGTTTTCTATTCATAGAAGTATATGACGTAACTCTCAGCTCCAAGCACTGCAGTCCAAGAAACTGTTATTGATGTTGATGTAACATCTGTTATATGCAAAGTACTAGGAGGTGGCGGTGGTGTATCTGTTCAACAAATTAAATAAAAGATCATATATGTGTAACCACGTCGAGGCTTATGTACAATTGGTGTGATTCAGCTAGTTGAGGAATGTCCGTAAACGCTACTGGTTCATAGCAATAAAACGTCGCGATAGAGAAGTTTATACAGAACAGAATCAGCGAACTTCTTTGTATGGAGTCCGGTCAAACCCTGATGGCAGCCATGTTTGTTTTTATTATTAGAGAACGCTTACTCCATATTTGGAATTCGCAATTCCTAATATGGTAGGATGAAAATACCACGTAAAATCCCACAAAATTACGGCACGCTGTAACTTATGGCGTTACGGTGACAGATGTATAATAAAAAAAGATAAGCATAAGTAATTACCTGCTGTTTGTTGAATTTCATTGCTGATATCACTTGACACATCAGGATATACTGCTTGTACAAAATACAGTGTGGAGGGTTTCAACATTTCCAATTCATAAGTATTGGCTGTCCCTGGCACAGTTACGGATTGAGGCATTCCAGAGTTGTATTCTTCATATTTGATGATAAACGTTTCGGCTACAGGAAGCGAATTCCAACTAAGAGTTATTGTTGTTGCTCAACGTCTACTACTTGCACGTATGGTGCTGGTGCAACTGTAGACCGAAATATAATTGAAGTTAATATTTGAATAACTAAGTAGATACAATCTGAGAACTGTCGACACAGGGAGAGTTTGATGTGAAGGTAACACGAATATCACTTTAAGGGAAAAAAATTTAATTAGTATGTACTTACGTGTTAATTGACTGACCTCATTACTCAGAGGACCAGGTACACCAGCATACATTTCATGTATAGTTATTGGGTCATACATTGTACCAGGGTTCAGATTTGATATGACATAAGTTGTCCTTCCCGCGCTGATATTATCTTTGACATGCATTATTCCAGATTTGGATTCATAGAAGGTTAAGACGTAATTTTCAGCTTCAATAATCGTTTCCCAAAAAACCTTTATTGATGTTGCTGTGAAATCTGTTATTTGCAGAGTAGTTGGGACAAGTGCAGCTGTTGGGCGAAATAAATAAGAAAACATGCATGAGTTTGAAATTGAAGAGCCTCCGTAAACATGCTACTGGTATCATTTCATGACAAAACTCCACGATTTCACATCAAAGTTCTATAATTTCACGACAAAACTACCATGTCATGGCGAAGTTAATTATAGTTACGACAAAACCATATCATTTCACCACAAAACTGTAGTATTTCATAGAAAAAAATAATAATTTTAGGGCACAACTGCATAGTTATCATGACCAATCTCCATATTCTCTCATGGTATAACTACTCGTTTCGTGTGGCCTAGTCAAAGTGCAAATGTGCAAGCACAATGCAGAATAAACACATCTTCAGCCACATACAATACACCAACCGCGAAGATTGAAGTGAACTATTGAGTATAGTGGCCAGGGAGATTTCTTGGTAACATGACGTGCCTTATATAGAATAGCAGTAGTTTATTTTGCCAATACAGAAAATATCACCCCACTCAAACTCTTTGGCATTATGTATGCCAGTTTCCCATTTACTGCTGATCAATTTGTTCGTCTCGTGACTTGGAAACCTTTGATCCCCAACATATCAGAAACTACTACAGCTTTGCCGTCCAATTTCATAATTTTGCCGTTAAATAATACAGCCTTGCCGTAAAATTTTAGAGTCTCTCCGTCACATTGTGGGGCTTGCCATGAAATAATATAGTTGTGCCGTCAAATTTTGGAGTTTTGCTGCAAAATTGTACAGTTTTGCCGTGAAATAATTTATTTTTACCGTCAAGTGATGAAGTTCTGCGTCAAACTGTGCATCTTTGCAGTCAAATTGTGGAAGTTTCCCGTGAAATTGTGGAGTTATGTCGTGCAATAATAGAGTGTGTATAGTTTAGCTGTGAAAATAAAGCTGTCAAATAAAGTTTTGTCGTGAAATAATTTATGTCTTCAAATTGTGTAGTGCTGCATAATAACAGAGATTGTGTGTTGTGATGTTCCAATTGGCCACATTAAAATACGTTGTTGAGGCAGTAATATAATCATAAAAAGAAAATGCCAAAATAATATTCATACCCTTACTATCAAGCATTGCTTAATGGAAGAAGATTAAATTCATTTACCCTAATAATACAAATGATCAATCTCTTATTTCTCTTAAATGAAATTGTAAAGGAGAAAGTTGAATTTCATTTTCATTGTAAGCGGCACAATGCGGAAAAACGTAATTAATAGATCCTAGACAGACGAATGTCATTTCACGATGAATTTTAACATTCGATTTCTTATTTACTTATATATATATATATATATATATATATATATATATATATACTTAATAGTTATTATTATATTCACCTGCTACATTACCACTAATTCAATAATCAAACCTGTGGGACCCTGTAATAAAAATTGCAGCAACATTTTTAATTTTAAATATTTATGTCTGGTAACACTACACTTTTGTCCAATGAACAAATAGTCTGAAATAAAGCCAATTCAATCAGTAAAATACATAAACTACGTGAAACATAAGGTAGTAGGCGGTAGATGTGTTTTATGTCAATCAGACACAAATTACGTCGTAGTTCAGTCATATAACGCATTTCAGTAGTAACGCATACCCCAAACATCAGTATTTGATGACAGCCAATTTGAGAAGGTCAGTAATTACCGCATCTGAAAAGTAATTTTCTACACAGCTGAGTTGTACATTTTAGTAGCGTGTTACTGAACCAAGCATATTTCAGTCGTGTCGACTATCCCTCGCGTGATTTTGAGTAGACACATAGACAATCCATGCGCATTTGTACGAGGTCTCAATTACCTCGATGGATCACCCGTCAATCGAACTTGTCACCCAACATTCATATTTAAGTTGAACAGGACGTCGAAAAATCAGTTCGGCAAATCACCGGCTACATAATACTTTCACTTTTGAGAATTAGGGGGAACAATTTATTGACTTCGAACTGATATTAAACTGTATATTAACATCTAATGGAACAGATTTTCACTCTAATTTCGAATACTAATTATGGGATACACAATCTCTCGCTATTCGTTATGCAATTAGAGAAATGTTTCTTTAAGGTAGAAAATTACTAAAAATCTATACGACGGTTCCAAAATAGTCACACAAAAATACGTTATAATTTTGACTCACTGGCTCCAATAATGGTATACAGCACCAGCCCTAGAACGATTTGGTGAATCTTGCCCATGGTAACACGATGTAGGATACGTGTTGTATGTAGCAACCAGCTGAAATCTGTGGCTTATTTAAGTAAAAACCGGTCTATTCACTGCCACGTGACACACGATGCGTTATTATTCAGCACGGTTGAATCGATCATATGAAACAACGGGGCACAGTCCCTCTAACGAGTAGTTCTTTAATTCATCTATATTAAATTACCAGCAGCGACACATTTTCGCAACAAATTTTCATACCTTTACCCAGAAATGTTTCGTGTTTGATTTTTGGGGTGATTGAAATGAACTCTATTTTATTTACTCTTTGATTTTGACATTTTAAGATTAAAAACATTAAAAATTGGTGGGCTGATTTGTTATTTGTCACACCGCATTTTATTCATGTTAAATTGGGCAATTTTTATGGATGCTCTTTTCGAACCTAAATGTAAATGGCGACGTTTTAAAATGACAATGTACGCTTGTCAGTGCTAAAACATCATTTATATACAAAAATTGAGTCATTGTTTTATACTTTTGCATCGAATAAAGTCATTAGTAGTTGTATAGTTGACTTGAACAGGAACTGAATGTTTATGAGCTGGTAGGTTGGTTTTGATGCGTATCAGTATTCAAAAAACCCGAATTTCATAATGCTAATAAAACACATGCGTCAGTATTAAAGACACACACGTCAGTTTTATACACACATTATTTTAAAATACATACGTCGTTTTTAAACACACACGTCGTTTTTTAAACACGTATTTTTTTTAACACACGTCATTTTAAAACACACACGTCATTTTAATACACACATATTTTTTAAAACACACACGTCGTTTTTAAACACACGTCATTTTAATACACACACCATTTTTAATACACACGTCATTTTAATGTACACATATTTTTTAAAACACGCCATTTTAATATACACATAATTTTTAAAACACACGTCATTTTAAAACACACACGCCATTTTTTAAACATACATAATTTTTAAAACGCGTCATTTTTTAAACACAAATAATTTTAAAATATACACGTCATTTTAATACACACGCCATTTAAATAATTTTAAAATACACACGTCATTTTAATACACATGCCATTTAAAATTCACACATCATTTTTAATACACATACATTTAATGCACATACATACACACATTAATCATTTTTAAACACACACATCGTTTTAAAACACACCATTAAAATTCTAGTGTACACAAAATAATAAATTTACATTCCGCGCCTCGTACAGTGATATTAATTTTAAACTAAAATATTATTAAAGTGAGAGGCGACACGGCCCATATAATAATCGACAAATTAAATTAATAGCAATTCAATTGTACAATGTAATATTAGATTATGGCGGGACTGGCATAATTGGGACAGGATGTGTTTAATGTTTTGTTCTGTCGTGTCTTTCCAACAAAGCAGATACAGCACATATGCAGATCGGATTGGGGGTAAGGCGACACCAACGAATCTTCAAATCACGAATCGATAAAACCCAAACAAAATATGAATTACAAATAACAATAGTAATAATTAAATTAAAAATAATAATAAGGCAATGATTTAAAGAGATTTGCAATAGTCTCAAAGAAAACCATATTAATTATTTTGTTTATTGCATACAGCACAAGTGTTATAATTAAACAATAATTAACGACCTGCCAACCAATAATGGGCGAATCTTGTAGCGTTGTCAATACCAGTGGGTCATTTTGCTGCTACTAAAAAAGCAGAAAATTTGGATAAAAATCCGCAGTGAACGGAACAGTTTCACAGTTACTGGGCCCCTGAATCGGCATAATTTAAAATGTCTTTTTGAAAATTGTTTTCACAATCTCATGACAAACTAAGAACGAAAATAGTTTTAATCCATCAAATATTATTTACATTGCGAGTGGACAAGCGTCTTTTGAGTGATGTGGAGTAGCATTGTAGTAATCGACCAAGCAAAGGGCGTATCCTTGACTGGTAGAGTCTATTTATACAGAGAGTAGAGACAATTGAGAACACGCCGGCATTTTGGGGCAAATTGTGTGGAACCACGGAACCGCTGCGTGTGTGTATGTGTGTGCACACATGTTTATATCTAACCTCTTTGGCTGAAGGCGTAGCAAGAAAATGAAAGAAAAGTGAAATAGAAAAAAATATTAATAATTTTATTACACTACTATGCAGAGGGCGGAGTATGGTAAATTAAATAAAAATCATAAAAACAAAGCGGCTAAATAATCTGTCTGACAAATGTTGGTCTAAGACGGGGTATACATTTTTGGTCTAAAATGGGCTCTGGGTTTCGCAGTACGGGCTACACCCGTATGCCGTATCAGCAGCCAAGTATATCCTACCCCCTGGACGAGCACACAAAGAAACATGCAGTCATGCACTTACACATTCGTTCTCACTCATTCCAGCATACTGTAAAGTAACCTTTTTTTTCATTGGTTAACCACATTCAGCAACATATCCAGGTAGAAACAAAACAAATGATAAACACAATACGGCTGTCAAAATTGCAAATTGAGATTAAATTGTTTACTGCAATTGCATCGATGCTTTCAAAGTACAATTTAAAAAAGTTTTCAAATAGCAGTATTAAATTTCGTGACAAATTACACTATTTGCCCAGTTCATTTTCAGACTCCTTTTTAATAGTAATCTGGAGTAGTGGTTGAGGATTTAAAAAATGTTCTAATTTGTTTGGTTTCCAACAAACATATTACACTATTGACTATCGACCATAGACTAGTATTCGTGACAAATTACACTATTTGTCTAGTTCATTTTCAGACTTCTTTTTAATAGTAATCTGGAATACTGGTCGGAGATTAAAAAAAATTTCTAATTTGTTTGGTTTCCAACATACATATTACACTTGAAGTGTATTAAGGTAGTATTTGCATACTTGTTTTCATCTTCTAATTGTGACTAAATGACTACAAAAAGACCCAAGAAAGCCAGATTTCAAGCTTTTCAAAAGTGTGTTTTTCATGCCAATATCAACATTCAACGACGCGTTACTCAGTGAAAATCACTTATGCTGGTGATTTTGTTTTAACTTTTCCGATTTGTTCAATAATCTTGCTAAATTGAATGTGTCTTGTCAGTTTTATTCAAGCAACGCGTTTTAACAAGTAGTGTGCTGAATTTTAATTTCAGTTTTAGTCGCATTGCCCAAGTCAAACCACAACACCATTGTTACCTTAAAGCTGTGAAAATTTGGTGTTAATCGACGATAACAAGTATACGTTATTTTTTGTTAAAGACCTCGTATTTTGAAAAAACATAGAAAACGTCCATCATGATGGAGTCACAGCAAAGATTTTCAAGCTTGTTTATCGACACAAGCGATTTGTTTTCACATCAAGGTCTGTTTTAGCATATGTAGAGGCATCCAAATGTATGAGGCCATTGACAACCTAAAAAATAAAGGAATGGGATAGCTATAATTCGATAAAATCAACAGATGAGAACACCAGAATCAATGATTTTTTAGTGAGTGTGTGACCTTGTGACACACTCATATGCAAATGACTAATCTGTGAAACTAACAGGAGCGGAGACCTACCACTCAAGTATTTGTAAACACTCAGTGGCGGCGGCACAACATTTTGCATGAGGGGGCGAGCCAGCCTTGAACCGAAGGCGCGACCTTACTAGGGGGCGCGCTCCCTTTAAAAATTTTGCAATCTAGACTCTCTGAAACGCTATTTCCTGCATTTTGAGGGGCAAATTTTGCTGACACAAAGGATTTGATGCTGGAGAGGCGACGCACCCCCCCCCCAACATTTTTTCCGAAGGGGCGACCGCCCCCTCTGCCCTCTGTGCTACCGCCACTGAAAGAACAAACTATGTAGACAATGGTAACAGTAAAGGTGAAAGGAAAATGACTAAAATATCATAGAACGGCACAGTAGCTGCAGGAGATATAGAATGATTTCAATTGCATTTGCTTTTTTAAGTGGGAAACTAGATTTTGAACGAAAAGAAACAATAAATCAAGCGGGGAACAATTTGTGTGGGAGATTGAGATGATTGGTTAATACATAATATCGAGAATATTGTGATTATTGTTCTACGCAGAAACAGACTAATGCAAATATTAACACCATTGCTATACTAATATTTTTAAATTAATTTATCAAATTTAATTTTCAAAAACAACATTATATTCATATTCATGGTACGGGCCCTTGATGATCAATAATGGGTTACATTATCGAGAATAATCTGCAGGAATGACGTCATAAAATCCACTGGTATTGATAATGCCATTATATGGAGGAGTAATTAATATAGAGCATGGGAACTTCAGTCAAAGTGTTAATACATTCCACAAAACAAACAAGAAATCAACAATTATCTTTAACTACTCACCCTCTGTCAAAACTTTATCCAGAGTTTCATAGGTTTAAGACCTGGGTGTTCATCTCACCCGAAATCTGAACTTCTTCAAAGATATTAATGCCATTTTTTTTGTTTTGTCAAACGGGTGTTTAAACGGGTAATTTAAAATTACCAGTGCTATCAGACCATAGTATGTATTGCACGCCTCCAATGTCTGGTTTCCTAGGCAACAGTACCTCGTTAATATAATTGAGTGTTCAACACAAGGTTTTAAAATATTTCTGTTTAAAAACAATGTTGACCGTTGTCAGTTTTTTCAACTTCCCTCGCTTGTAGGGCGTATACAATTTTTGAATCCATCTTAATATTTGTTTTATATCTATGCCTATGGGGCGAACACCTTTTGTTATTAATATGCATAATTGTCATAGCTCAAACATTGTTACAGATAGGGACACGCAGTGCTATAGTGAAGGGAAGGGAGAAATTATATGACTACATATGGTCATGTTACCTCATTAATATGCATAACTGTAATATCCTAGGCACCGTTGTACATATAAACTTGCAACCAGTATTATGATGAAGGCATTGGACAACAGATATGAGACATGTTTCGGATGACCATATATGGTCATATGATCTTATTAGTATGCATA